TCTAAGTGTTGAACTTTGTGGGAGTAACTCCGGTAGAGAAGGCGGAATTGGTCGCTTGCCAATTGAAGGATGTTGCTCAAATGTGGTTTAGTCAATGGAAAGAAGCGAGCCCCATGGAATGGGAAAGATTTAAGAATGGGTTGCTTCCTAGGTTTTGCCCTCTAGAGATGAGAGAAGCTAAGATACTTCAGTTTATTAACCTTCGCCAAGGTAGGGTGAGTGTTAAGGAGTATGCTCGGGTGTTCACTAGGTTGTCGAGATATGCTCCCTACATAGTGGCCGACCCTAGGATAAAGATAAGTAAGTTTGTGTCGGGCGTATTCGACTTGATAGCAAAGGAATGTAGTATGGATATACTTATGAATGAGATGAATAATGATCATCTTGTGATTCATGCTTAACTGTTTGAAAGGGAGAAACTTGAAGAGAGGTCTAGAGGAACAAAGAGGTATATATTTGATAATGATAACTCCTCTCAAGAAATATTTTATGGTCAAAGCTCTTCCAAGATTCCCCCTAAATTTAACCAAAAGATGGTGTCTACCCCTAAATTTCAAAGAGTGAGTGGTAGTGGATCTGATGTGATTAGGCCTACTTGTGTTAGGTGTGGAAAAAGGCATGATAAGAAGTGTCTAGCCGGTACAAAAGGGTGCTATGGTTGTGGTGGAAGTGGCCACAAAATGAAAGATTGCCCGATACTCATGGCTAGGGGAAGAGAGAAGAAGAAAAATTAGGTCCGGTTCTTTTCAAGCTAGAGGTGAACAAGAGTGTCCTCCTAATGTTGCTCCTAGTATGCGTTTATTCTTACTTCTATTCCGGTAGTACTTTTCTTTTGTGACTTGATAAGTTGGACATGATGAGCTTTTATGTATATATGGGTTTAATTGTGGTTATATGTGTTTGTTGGTAGAACCCAACTTAGCCATAATGAGTTTTATGATGCACTGGAGGATTTGATGAATAGTGGTGTTTAAGTGATGCCTAGAGATGTTGAGTGAATAGACTCCTTTAAAGGAGGATAGAAGTGTAATTCTCCATTGTTTAGAATCACCTTGTGTTAGAGATGTGAAAGTGGAGTGATAACTTGCTCCGACCTTAGAATTGAAATAAATGTGCTTAGATAGCAAGGTCTTTGAGTGTTCTAGATGTTCATGATTTGGATTTGCTCGAAATTCTCACCTTAAGAGGTGTAGTCAATTTTAGAAGTTTAGTCCCGGTTTGGTAGGATCTTATGATACCTTGATTGGTGTTGGTATGGTTTCTTGTGAGCTAGAGTTGCTTAATGAGAACCTCTCTAATTTAGAAGTACCGATTGGGATCTTAGACTGACAAGTTAAGAAGTAGACGAGTAAACAAGTTGAGGAGTGGTATTTGTAAGGGTTTTAGTTAAGGGTGTTACTTGGGAGGCCAAGGGCCAAGGAGATGTCCCGATATCCTGATGTTCCCTTCTATTCCTCCTCTAGCTTAAGATGATAAATCCTCCTTAACTCATTTCATGATTATGGAGTCTTGGATGTTATGTGTGTCCCATGATTTCTTTGTCCCATAGAACTACTCTTATTAACCTTGGTAAGGTTTGGATGCATGGTTATTAGACCTCTATAGGTTTTAGAACCCGGTAAGGTTATAATGAGTCTTGTGAAAGGGGTTTGTTTGAAAGGAGTAGTATTTGAGGGTTTAGTAAAGGGGCATACTCCCAAAGTATAGATCATGTGCTTAGATAGAAAAATTGATTTAGAGTCCCGATATCCACATCTCTTTCTTCTATTCCTATTCTAGCTTGAGACCAAGAGTTCTAATTTTGGGCTTGTTTTATGTTTTGGAGTCATGAATGTTTTAGAAAAATTTCCATGACCTCCTCATTTTATGCATGTTCTTGAGAAAATTCTTGTTTTGTATATAAAAATGAGTTTTGATGATTTACATGTTCCACATATTGTTGTGCATTTTAGCATGATGATGGCATATTTGACTTCATGAGTTGATTTGATGAACATGCTTTGTTATGCTTTTGATGAAATGGCATATTGGCTCCATAAAGTTGGGTTGAGTTTCCTTTTAGTGGGAAGAGGCAGTTCCTCCTATGATTATGTGATTGATGATGTTTAGAAGTGTTTGTATAGGCTCACTCCCAAGGGGGAGATGGTGTGCCTAGCTAACATTGTTGTTATGTGCTTATGTGTTGCCATGACTTCCTTATATAATGCATATTCATGAAAGCTTGTGTTTTGAAAGAAAATGAGTTTATGTGAATTGTTTTTCTCATGTTGTAGTACTTTGAGTAAGAGGTGCCTATTGTACTTCATGAGAGGAATATATGAGCATGCTTTACTGTGGAGTTGAGAAATTCCTCCTTGAATGAAATTCTTTTTGAGAGTAAATTGCATATGTGCTCCATGAGAGTATGTTGAGCATATTATGACTAGGAGATGGTAATTCCTCCATGAACATGACTAGTTATGAGAATCTCATGTACAAATGGGTTGTTAGATGTAGTTCATACTTCCTTGTGTTGCATTGAGTATATTTAGATGGAGTGATGTTTCCTCCTTGTTTATCTGCATTTAGATGTTTCATTCATGATGGGCTGCTAGTCTTGTGTCTTTAATTCCGAAAGGTATTTTACAAATGTCATTCGAGGATGAATGTTCCCAAGGGGTATATAATGTGTGTAGCGACCCTTTCAAAAGGATACTACCACTTAAACAAGAAATCTAATTAAATACTTGCGACATTTAAAACAGGTTAACTATGGCCATATTGATTTAAATCTAGTAGAGGGATTATGTTCATAACGAATAATTTAGTTAAGGATATACATCTTTCCCATTTAAACATTTATTTGATGTTAAAACTAACATGGTGCGGAATTTAACTTATGACGGAAAAACCCTCCCAGAATAATTTAAGCATATATTTGACGAGCTTTTCATGCATATATTATCCTCACACATAAGGATGAGATAACAAGAATATTACCAACTTCCGAGTACCGAAATCAGCCGGTTCATGCTTCACACAAACATTCAAAACTAATAGTAAATTTCGTATATTACAAGACTTAGGTTTGCATAGCCCAAAAGAACAAAACATATAGTCATACTTATATTACAACCCATGGTGACCTGATCAAATTAGTCCTCAAAATTTCATGTAAATATACAACACATAGATCATGTACAAGTCCCAAGGTTTATACAAGATATAGATGCCTATATGCAATTGTGATCTTCCTTAAGGCTCTCAAAATCTCCATCTCCAATCGCCATCTTCATGCATCCTCTCGATCTTTCCCTACGATAGAAACAACTATCGTTAAGCATATAGCTTAGTGGTGCCAAAACTATAGGTTCGGAGCCCTCAGATTGACCAAGTTACCATTCTCAAGTCATGGGCAACATAATTGAACATAATAAATAAATCAAGTAAACAATATATAAAGAGTATCAAGTTCGATATTTAAAGATCCAAATTAAATGTCAAGAACGCTCATAGCATAGTTTTCCAAGAGATTCAACAAGGCTCGCCCAATATATACATCATGTTGTCGCACCAAGCACAAGCATGTATTATCAAGAAGGGTCAAAGCCCAATAATCAAGAGAACCAAGAACCATATTAAAAATGGCTTTCTAGTTTGTACTGAAAATGGACAACTACCATTCTTAAGACTGACTAAAAATCTAGAGTCAAGATGGCAAATGATCCGAATCAAGAGGCATACCAA